GACAAAAATTTGACTACACAGTTGTTTGTTGCAACAAGTTTGGATACAGAAATTAGGTTGAAATGAAAACTTGGCACAAACAGGGCATCACATAATAGTAAATTGTTTGACAACTTTATATTGCCTTTAGCACATGCAGCAGTGGTATTACCATTGGGCAAGTTGATGCAAACATTTTGAATGTTGATCAAAGAATGAAAGAAAGACTGATCACATATCATATGGTCAGAAGCTCCAGTGTCCAATATCCAGGTATGTTTAGAGAGATTTCTAGTTACCATGCAGGATAAAGGATTAGACAAACCTGATGTTTCTGGGAAAGCAGTTGCAACCACAGGGGAAGGGACTCCTGTGTTAGGTTTAGTTTCCTGGTATCTTTTGAAGGCTAGAAACTCATTGAACAAATCATTAGTCATGGAAGATACATCAGTAGAATTAACAGTAGGGGTAACATCAGTGTTGGTGAAAGTGGCATTGGCTGTATGTTTTGGGTGAATTCTAGGGCCTTTTGGTCCAACCCAGTCAGGAGGATAACCATACACTTGATAACATTTTTCAGAGGGGTGAGGATAGCCACAGTGAATGCATTTAGGTCTGGGTTTGCCTTTGTGGTAAGGAGGTTTGGCTGATTTGTGAGTATTTGAGGTATTGGCTGCCATGGCCATAGAATCAATGGATTGAGTGGTATTTGATAAAGTTCTTTGGGATTCCTCTTGAAGTAGGAGGGAATAAATTTTTGAGAGTGAGGGTAGGGGTGTAGTAAGGAGAAAATGGCTTCTGAGGGAAGCATATGAGTCATTCAAACCAACAAGAAACTTCATGACCGAGTCATTTTGTTGTGCTATGGACATAGACTCAAAGATATTACAGGTGCAATGTGTAAAAGCCCCACAATGACATTTAAAAATAGGCCTATACGTAATGTACTCATCCCATAACGATTTGAAAAGACTGTAGAACTGAGTAATAGACATAGTGCCTTGATCAATAGTGCTAAGAGATTTTTCTAATTGAAAAACCCTAGGACCGCTGCTTAAGGCATATCGGCCTTTAAGTTCATCCCAAACCTCTTTCGCAGATGTGAAAAACAACAAGGACTGCCTAATTTCTTTCGAAACAGAGTTCAGAAGCCATGAAAGAACAAGGTTATTTGCCCTAACCCAAGAGAGATAAGAATTAGCGTTACCAGCCGGAGTGGGTAAGGTACCGTCGATGAAAGCACTCTTGTTCTTCACGGTAAGAGCCATCAGTATAGATCTGGACCAGGAGATGTAGTTTTCACCAGTGAAGACCTCTGCAACAATCAACGCGCCAGGGTTGTCACTTGCATGCAAATAGTACGGTGACGACGGATCATCGGTCGGATTCAGAGAGGATGCCATCAGATTTATATAGATCTGGTGTAAGATATAGCGAATAAAAGCGATCTGAGAGATTTAGACCGTAAAAAAATAGATCGATCTGAGATTGAGACCGACGAAAAACGTAAAACAGGCAATCGTCGTCGGAGGTTGAAGACGAGAGCGAGAATCAGTGAGCGGAAGCGAAAAAAGGATCGGAAAAGAAGGATTTTCCGGCGAATGATACCATGTAAGATCTGTAAATCGCAGATGAACGAGAGAAAAGGGAGAAGAAAGATTGCGGCTCTTATTGAATGAACAGATAAAATGAACAATTAGGGTTTGATGATGGGTGTACATCCCTATTTATACTAGAGACTATAATACTAAAAGTGCTGAAACTTAAAGTAACAACTTATACAATACAAAACACATTTTATGCTTAATTACAGAAATGCCCTATATGCTAATAATTTGCTCTTAATAATGCTTGCGAGTCTGTATATATTTTGAATTTAAAGACTAGAAATGGCTCAAGTTACTCTGAATTTACTTGGGAAAATCCTAGTTAGTGTAGTGTAATAACTTTTGATTTATAGAATGTGAACTTCAGAAACTTCCCTTGCATTTCAGGATAATTACACAAAATTGAATAGAAATTTCAAATATGATTTCAGGTTTCTCGACAAAGTAATGGTTCACGAGTTGCGACACAAATTTTGGATTTCGTTTTCGGACTTTCATGTAGGCGTGCGAGAATGACAAACATGTAATGACGAGTTATGGTAAATAAAGAAGCTTACCTATATTTGGTCCGAAAAGGGGTAGAGCCACCGAGGTTGGGTCGCTGGCGGGAAAGGGTCAAGTCGGTAGAAAAAGGTTGCCGGAAGGAGAAGGTTGAGCCGCGTCGAAAAATCGCACGTAGGGTAGGTTTTTGAAAAAGTGAGCCATCTTGGGAGGGGATGGGATATTTATGTTTGCCCTAACCATTTAGGACCATTGAATTAAAAAATGAATCAAGGGCCTATATTACAAATGTCTAATCATTCGCGTTATACGAGATGCTTTTTTCAAAATTAAGGTGTCCTCACATCTACATTTAATGTACTTGACAACCTAAACATACCTGACAAGGCGTCACTTTAAGTTGATCGTACTTTTTAACGAGCTACCGATCGGGCTCGCACAAAGTACAACCAACTTAAACCACAAATTTGAAAAGTTGTTGTGAATAAATTGAAAGGAAAAGAATATTTGGAGCAAAAGGGATTGAGATAAAATAACTTTACTAGAATTTGAATATCTTGTTACCTCTAAATATTTTGTAAGTTTTATCTTATATTACACGAACACTTTCCAATCTCAAGTCCAACAGACGTTCTTATGTATAAACCGTATGAGTCGTTGGCCGCCACCATCAGTTGTCCTTCGACGTAGGCCTTTCAGCTGCCAGCCACGGGAGCTCTACCTCTCGACCGCCATCGTCAATTTGAGTGTTCGTACGTAAAGCAAGTTAGCGAAAGGATAAATTAGAGAAGAAGGAGAAGAAGAAGAAGAAATTAGGAAAAAGAGATGATTTATTGGTCGTTAAAAAAAAATGTCAGTGGCCGACGTGTGAAGAGACGAAGGCGGTGCCATTTTCGAGCAACGACGGTTTTCTTGGCTCGTCGAAAGACGACGAAAACCAGTGGCACATCTGTCGAGCACCTCGAAGACGAGTGGTTGCGGCTGCATAGTTGGTGAGGGTCTCGGATGGGGCACAGCTCGGACATGAGAAAGCTGATTGTGGCAGCTTTCCGTTGACGGAGGTTAAATTCGTGTATTGGGTTGCCAAGAAAAATCAAAGGTAATGTATTAAACAACAAAGGTCTAAATGATGATTTGACTTTTGTTTGCTGAGCTGGATTTCTGTGTGATGTGCCCGTTAAAAAAATTTTGCCACATCAGCTTCCCATCAACGGACGTTAAATCTTTGTATCGGGTTGCCAATAAACCTAAAGTAATGTATTAAACTGTCAAGATCTAAAAAGTCGTGATTTAATGACCAATCGACTCGATGTGGTGTATTTTCTTACCAATTTGTTCTTCTTGAAATAATATGACTATGATAGTTTTGTATTATTTACTGTTTATATTTATGGAAAATGCTATAATATAAATAACTCAATAGAAAAATCATCGCAATACTTTTGCTTAACTATATATAAAAGTACATATCAAAATTAAAAGATCTAAATATCTTATATTGAATTGAAAAACCATTCCCTCCCGCCAATATAGCCTTTCCTATATTTCATGTGCGTAGATAGTCGACACTCTTCAGCGCAGAGGACAAACAATGCTTGCTCTATGCACCTTCGATAGATGACCCAAATCTCATGGACGCTCCAAATCTTTCGCCGGATTCTGAAAACCTGCATAGACCAGAAGGACCTCGCTACCGGCAGGTGCCTCCACGCGCTCTACGTCAAGTCCCTTATCCCACGCCTCACCTACATCTCCAACCACTTCACCCTCCTCTACTCCCGATGCCGCCGCCTCTCCGCCGCCCGGAGGTCCTTCGACTCCACCGCCGACCCCAACGTCTTCTCCTTCAACGTCATGATTTCCGCCTATGCCGGAGAGTCCCTCCCCCACATCGCCCGCCAACTGTTCGACCAAATTCCCGATCCGGACATCGTCTCGTACAACACCCTCATTGCCGCCTACGCCGACTCCGGCGGCGCGTTGCCGGCGATCGAGCTCTTTTCCGACCTGCGGCAGTCGGATCTTGCCTTGGACGGGTTCACTTTCTCTTCTGTAATCACCGCGTGTGCTAATGACGCGGGATTGCTCAAGCAGTTACATGGGTCGGCTCTCTCGGGCGGGTTTTCCGGTTATGCTTCGGTCAATAACGCTTTAATTTCAGGGTACAGCAAAAACAGGCTTTTTAACTTTGCGGAAAGCTTGTTTTTCGAGATGGGCGAAGTTAGAGACGATGTTTCCTGGAATTCCATGATTGTGGCCTATGGGCAGCAGAGGCAAGGATTACAGGCGCTTGGTTTGTACCAGGAAATGGTGCATAATGAATTATTTATCGACATGTTCACATTAGCTAGCGTTTTGGCTGCTTTTACGAGCATGGAGGATTTACATGGCGGAATGCAGTTTCACGGCCGGCTGATCAAAAAGGGTTACCACCATAACCCGCACGTTGGGAGCGGTTTAGTCGATTTGTACTCAAAGTGCAGTGGTGGCCGTATTTCGGAAGCTCAGAAGGCATTTGATGAAATACCCTGCCCAGACTTAGTCCTTTGGAATACAATGATTTCTGGATATTCAACAAGTGATAATTTTCCGGAGCAGGCCCTGAACTGCTTCAAGAAGATGCAACGTGCAGGGAAGTTCCCGGATGATTGTACATTAGTATGTGCTATCGCTGCTTGTTCTAGAATGCCGTCTCCTTCACAAGGAAGACAAGTGCACTCTCTGGCCATCAAGTTCGACATTTTATCAAACTGGGTCTCGGTAAACAATGCCCTTATCACGATGTACTCCAAGTGTGGGGATTTGCAGGATGCGAGGAAATTATTCGACCGAATGCCTGAACATAATGAGGTTTCTTTAAATTCGATGATTGCGGGCTACGCCCAGCACGGTCTTGGACCGGAGTCGCTGACCCTTTTCGAACAAATGCTTGAGAAAAAAATGAGCCCGACGAATATAACCTTTGTATCTGTTCTTTCTGCCTGTGCGCACACCGGGAGGGTCGAGGACGGAAAACGGTATTTCCGCTCTATGAAGGAAGAGTTCAAGATCGAGCCCGAGGCGGAGCACTATGCTTGCATGATCGACATCTTGGGCCGGGCCGGGAAATTGGATGAGGCCCAGAGGCTTATTGAAAGAATGCCGTACGATCCTGGTTTCATGGTTTGGGCTTCATTGCTCGGGGCCTGCAGGACCCACGGTAATTTGGAGCTGGCAGAAAGGGCTGCCGAGCGGTGCCTCGAGCTGGACCCATCGAATGCGAGCCCATATGTTATGCTCGGGCATGTGTATGCTGGGGCCCACAGATGGAACAAGGTGTCCTGGGTGAAGAGGCTGATGCGGGATAGGAATGTGAAGAGGAGACCCGGGTGCAGTTGGATCGAGGTGAATAGGAGGGTCCATGTGTTTGTGGCGGATGATAAGATGCACCCAATGAGGAAGGAGATTTACGGGTTTTGGGAGGGAATGTGGGGGGAAATGAAAAAGGCTGGGTATGTACCCGATTTGAGGTGGGCTTCAGTTAAGAATGATGGGGTGAGTGAGGACGATAAGGAGATGATGGTGAGGTATCACAGTGAGAAGCTAGCGGTTGCTTTCGGGTTGTTATCGACTGGAGAAGGTGTGGCTTTGGTTGTTATGAAGAATTTGAGGATGTGTGGGGACTGTCACAATGCGATCAAGATAGTGTCTGGTATTAGTGGAAGGGAAATTACAGTGAGGGATTGCTATCGATTTCATCATTTTAAAGCGGGGCAGTGTTCCTGTGGGGATTTTTGGTGAACAAATAATGCGTTTCTGATATAATCTCGTCACAGCCTATGGGACCGTCAGTCATAGTCAACCCAAGAGTCTCGTGCTCTCTTCAGTCATCTTCGGCATTGCATGAGAGCCAGCCGGCCATCCGAGTAGTCTCCGAGATCCTGTAACAGCTCAGCTTTGATAACTTGCTTATCGTCATGTTGACTGGTTAGTTGGTAAGTCTTACTGTGATCAATGTCATCAACAGTTCTCTTCATCTCTCTCATTCTGTAAGTCTTACACTCTTACTTTAAGCTTTCTGGTTTTATGTTTTATCTCCCCATGTAACTGTGTCAATTCTTTTTAAACACCCCTTGTGTTTTATGCCTAAACACTAATGTTCCTTGTTGAGGATGTAATATCTTTTCTATAAACAAATATCTGGTGTTGAAGTCTCCGCCGTGCCGAGAAATCCGAACGGTGGTGGGGAATTTGTATTCCATTATGTGTACATGCACATGGTACGTAAAATAATAATATGAGAATTATTTATATATATTAATATTTTATAACAATATAAATTGTATTTATAAAAACTAATATTAAAAAAAATAATTATAATGATATATATTTTATTAAAGAAATTGAATCATGATATGAATTACAAATACATGTTTTCTTAAAAACTAACTGATGCAAAACAATAAAAATATTAATAATGAGTAAAAAAATTTATGGAGCCATTTAATGATTTTCGTATTGACACATGTCGAAAGTGTATTTATTATAACACACGTGTCAATACATTATTTATGAATAAGTGTGGATGACTTCATAAGTCATGTCATCCGATGGCTCTATATCAAAACTTTTTTTTTTCCCTTTCGCCTGGCATGCGAGAGCAGTGATAGTGTCTGTAAGACAACCGGGATATGTTTATGTTAGCTTAGCTGCTCGTCTTTTTTCTATTTGGACCGTCCACAGGGAGCCAGCGAAACTTAAACGATGTAGCAAATGCTTGTGGGATGGATAGTTATTCAGTGGTTTTGAGGAATGTTATCCTGAACATATGTTAAGTTCTCTAGTAACTGTACATACAAATTTGTGTAATAATAAGGCAACCTTGTTCTTATCTCGCCATTGCTTGTCCTGAAATAGTTGAATTTTTACTTGCTATTTGATTGAGAGCCTGTTTTGTTTGGAAATGCAAGGGTGTTAAGCCATTTTTTTCAGTATTTTATTTTTTTTTAAGGACCACATAAATATTGCAAGGATGGTACTATGCATATAAATCATATTTGGTCAATTATTCATATTCACTACATATCTTTCTTTTGTAAGATTAAAATTTAATCTTACTATTTTGATTCCAACTAAATGAAAGTTGATTGTAACTTTAACAATTATAACTATTTAAAAATTATAAGAATAATTAAAAATTCAACTATACCCGGATGTACTTAACGAGCTCATATTCAAGCTCGAGCTTGACTCATTAACAACAAGCCGAGCTCGAACCTTAACAAGCCAAAATTGAACTTTAACCAGACAAATAATAAAATTCCATAAAAATCATGTTTTATAGCCTTATCGAGACGAGCTAACCACAAGAGGTCTAAATATGCTCGAGTTTATCTCTTTAATCAAACATGCCGAGTCAGGTTTGCCTTAAACAAAAATCGTTTAATTCAACACTACTTCAAAATTCGTGTATGAGAATTGATTCAAGAACATAACATCCTGTAATACTCAGATTTCGGATACAGAAACTCATCTCTAAGATGCAATCGTAGATCATAATCCTCATATTACAAATTGAGCTCTAGAGGTAAAAACTCATGCAGACGTGTCATAAAACTAGATGGAAAAAGAGAATATAGAGAATATTCTCTTGGTATAATTTTTATTATAACTGCAAAAAACTTCTAAAGTCACAATCATAAATATACAATTATATCAAGTGTAACATAGCCATTCACATACTGAAACAAATTCAATAGGTGAACCTACCGTATAATAGCGGATTCATAACATTACTTACATTCTCAATGACAACTACTGTATGTTGGAAAGTCGACTCACTCTGATCTTATGATTATCTGCATAACAAAGATGATTATTTACATAAAGGTATTGAATCCTATACTAGACTTTCTTGCATCTCCAAACAGATGCAAGCATTGGGGACGTTCTTAGCACCAGGCAACACACAACACTCCAGTCACACAAACGAACATTACTGGGATTCAAAGCATTCCCTTCCACTTTTCCAAATTCTCATTTTTGCGTATGCTAAATACATGGTCCTAAAAATTATCAATTGCAAAGGATAAAGAAAACCAATTTCAACGCCAAAATTTTCCAATAAACGAAAATCACCTACCTCAATCTGACTTTTACAAGTGTAGTATATCTATAATCCCTGACAAGCCAGTTTACAAGACTTGTCTACTGATTTTGAGAAGTAAATAAACCACAATCATTTTTGTGCCGACAAGGCATAATATTACAATCTTGAAAAATCATACCTATCATGAATTACATAACAAGGCCTTTTTGTAGTTTCACTGACCATTGTCCCTGTTTGGGCCTTTTCTCTTACTCCCACCTCTATGCGACCGCTTTGGTCCCTATACAAAGTCAACTTACATTTACTAACTAATCATCTGAACATAAAAGATAAAGAAAAATCTTGAAGTGCATATATAAAGGAAAAATCTGCATGGAGGAGCTGCAATCTCTCTTGTTTTATTTAACTCGGCATTACATTGGCATAAAAAAAGTAGAAATATTATTAATAGAGGAAGTTTCAAAGTAAAAAAGAAAGTCTTCTACCTCAGCTGAAAATGTTCTAAGGGGATCTCTGCTTTTATTAGATTTCCCTTTGAGCCCTTTCCGGCGGCTAGGTTTTGCATTTCCCATTGCAGCGCGAGCTAGCTTCACAATCTTGCTAGCTTCTTGTGTTGTCGGGTCAAGTAAGTAATCGGGCACATCACGCAAGTGATGCGCTGGTTCCTTTTTGCTCAAAACTTTGTCGTGTTTCAATAGATCTGTTTAGAGATAAAGAGCAGTCATGTAATAGTTGCTAATATGTATATATGGATTTATATGGTGATAAGCTCCAGCTAACAGCTTACCTAAGTCCTTAGGGTTATCTTGAAAATGAGCCATCAACCTGTATATTACATAGTAAATTGGTGAACAATGTCCTCAACATGAAAATCAGATAAAAATACCAACTCCATAAGTTTCTTCTTGAGTAATGGCTAGTCAAAAGATAACTCACTTTTCAGAATTGAGAATCTCATTTCTTAGATCCTGTGCACGTGATTCCCTCACCGCAATTTTCGTTACACTCCTTGCAACATCCTGCAGACGTAGTATATGTAATTGAACAAAGCAGACAATGTACACCAGAAAAGGTTTTTTCAAGAACCTAATATACCAACACAAATTCACAGGGTGACAGAATCATATGACAAATTCTAAGTGAGATTTCCCTCATTCGCGGAACTTTTTCCGTAAAGTGAATAAAGGAATACCTCGGCTCTGTATCGCAAGGACTCGACAGCATTCTTAGTAAGCAAAGGGAAAGGAGCAATGAATTTAGAATCCTGCTCGCCATTTTCACCCAAAAGCGATTTTATCTCCTCGAAGATCTCCATCTCCTCAGGGGATACCTGTACAAAGATCAATAAGATGTAAATGTACGTAAACCAGCATTCAACAGCTAAAAAAGGAAAATTCTTGAATACTATAACATTGCTAAATGCATGCAAGAAAATTGCACGTAAGCTGTTGTTAATGTTAACCAAAAGTCAGCATTTCATTTCATGGAACCAAAAATAGATGGTCGAGAAACTCACCAGGGATACAGACGCACCAGTACTATATGCCCTTCCAGTACGTCCAATCCGATGCACATACCCGGCAGCAGTTTGAGGCATATCAAAATTTATCACCTAATGCAAGTTAAAAAAATATAAAGATTGATATCATATGGGGGCATTAAAAGAAAAATAAAGATTAAAGTTTTTAATTCTGCCTTCTAATAAACTGCTTCAATTGAAAAACATTCATATATTTGGAACAATATAGGTACACCACCGTATTTGATTAGCTGTGAGATCAAGGGTCAAAAGCAGTGATAAAAAACATCATCACCCGTAAGAATAAAAGTATGAAAGTTGAGGCAAGTGGAAGTAATGTTTTCAGACATTCAACTTCAACCAAATGCATAAATTGAATTAAGACTTTGTGATACAAAGCATCAGCTCACCGTGTGCACATTCTTAAAGTCTATTCCTCTAACTACACCGAATTCCGCATCCAACTTCTGTTTACGTCTTCTAGATCTTTTTGGAGGAGCATGACTTTCCTTGTCATTTTGCTCCTCTGCTGATCGACTGTCATCAGCTGCAATTAGGTAATCAAAAAGACCAGCATTGAATTCCTAACAAGAAAAACAGGTTTGTTATGAGCCAAAACATCTTTTTGATTATTCTCACTAAAGAAGCCATCGAACTACACAACAGCATAACATATGAACAAACCATAACACTTAAGTACCTCGAGAATGTGTAGACGGGAATTTTGAGGTAACTCAGCATTTAAAACTGCAGATTTGATTCCAAACTGCCAAGTAAAAAATGCAGTCAGCCTTATATTTCAAAATGTAAATACCAAATAGTCCCAATCAACAGATGATGCATCAACCTTAGACTCATGAAGTATAGGATATGGACATCGTCATACTAAAGAACATAGAAGAACATGATCACCAGTTGATTTTGATGAAATATTACCTGGCCACTGAAAGTGCATATTTCAGCATGAGTCTGAAGGCAGACTAATCAAACCATTATCTGACTTAGGGCCAATTTTTGGAAAGAGACCCTCGCAGGTCGGTATTAAAATATTTTCCATTCCGTTTTTCACTATGTATATAAGCATAATTGGAAATTATTATGAAATACACGCAGAGTTATACTTTCCCCCATTGCTTTTGTTTCCAAACGCTATTGATGCAAGCACATGTGTGGTGTCAACTCAAATGAATCTCTTCACTGGGAACTTTGGCATTGTTTATCTTCAATTATTCTTAATTATTACGAATATAAAACACAATTGGCACACATATGGATATGCTCCAGCCCAATCATTTCATGACAACTGAAACCCATTTTTTCCCTGATTCGTCAAGTTTCTTTCACCTTTCTAGTTATCAACTTCTCAAATTTCAGCAAACACGTGAGAAGAGCTAATAGGCTGAATACATCATAATCAGACTGTGTAGCTACCTCTAGTGTTTAAGAAAAATAGTGAGAAAATTCTCAGTCAATACATCAGGCATAATAACATAGCATCATCCCCGAACAGGCACAAAGTGAACCGTTTTACCTGTTCAAGGAACAATTTCAGTCTAAAACTCATGTCAATTGAATTAGAGAAAATCAGCACTTTCTTTTGAACCAGCTCCAACTTCAACAAAGCAAGGATATGCACAAGCTTATCGCGGGCACTGCATGAAATCTATATATAGTAATATGGTCAGCATTAACGGAGGAAGACAAATGAACCAATAACTAGTGGATGACATGGCATATATTCAGGTGTCAAATTTAAAATCAATATAAGCTCCACCTTTTCGAAGACACATTGGTAGTGAACACCACAATTCTTCAACTCACATAAAAATAAAATTAAAATTGTAAGAGACAAGAAAATATAAGCAAAACTTACATAAAATTGCTGGACGTTTTTTGGGATAATGTCATCCTTTACATCTCCCACTTCAGGTAAGGTTAAAATGTACGGATTGTGCAGAATAAGCTTTTTCAGCTTTTCAACATCATCACTGAACATCATCAAAAAGAGGCATAAGACCCAGTCATTTTTTGAAAGAAAAATGAGATCTATTTTATGAAGCAAGTGTTCTTGAAGTCAAACAAGCATCCCAAACTAAAAAAGTTAATAGGTAAGATTGCACCAAAGGGATGCATCACATGTGAGTTCCAAGAACCAGCTACAGATGCAGCAATCTCAGAGAAAAAACATAGTTGGTCTAAAAGGATAGCCAATATAACAAAGCTAATAAGAGAATAAATAAACAGCAATCCCTCTACTTCTCATGAGTTATACCTAAACGTGAAATTCGCATCAAACCCAATTTACTATATTATCCAACCAAAACCAGGAACTGATTTTCAAGTGACTAAGATGTGTGACTCATGTCAATGTGTATATGTTAATAGATGTATGAATGAATAGTTACATATTTTAGCCAAAAATCTTAAAAGGAATGAAAATATTTCAGATATAAATCAAATGTGTGTGTGTGTGTTTGCGCATGTCATCTTAACTGCGGAAAAGTTAAAGCAGCATCATTATAAGAACAAACCTTGACGTAGCAGACATGAGAAGGCATTGGCAACGCTTTGGAACATGAGCTGTTAGTGCCTTCAGATCATCCTCATATCCATACGACAAGAGAAGATCTGCCTGATACAGTAAATTAAACGCACAATTAGACAACAAAATATCAGAATAGAAAAATTAGAATTTTTGTGCACCCAGCGGATATTGATAAGTGATAACCAGATACAAAATAATTGGAATCCAAGAGTCGTGAAAGTGCAGACCTCATCAAGGATTAGAACCGAAAGGGATTCTTGAAGAGCTTTAGAGTTGAGGATGCCATTTTTCAAGCATGTTTGTACACATGCAGGAGTTGACACAACGATGTCAGGAAGCCCTGCCAATGATGTTCTCTGCACAAGTCAAATAATCGGCGGTTGAAATTAAATTGACTACACAGACTACATTTGAACTAACAAATAAATAATGAAAAAAAAAATAAAAATTACCAACCAAATCAGAAGTGGACATCATACTCTTCAACTGGATTGCTTTCAATGGCACTCTGCATAATTCTATTAGCGACATAACCTCTGAGTAAACCTGTTTAAAGAAAAAGCAAAACAACACATAAATCAAGACAAACGGACCCAGAGAGGCTGCTCATCGTGAAACATGCTTTAAAGACGCTTACTTGCTGGCATAACTCTCGAGTGGGAACAAGAATAAAAGCTGCAGGGGCAAGATTCTTTTTCGAAGGCGACTCAGCGAAAAGCTTTTGAAGCAGTGGAAGCAGATAAGCTAATGTTTTCCCAGAGCCGGTTTTCGCACGGGCCACGACGTCTTTGCCTTCCTGATAACCAGAAGTTGCAGAAATTCAGATTAAATCGAAAACGTTAGAAGAATACAAATGCAAACTCAGCTGGAAAAGGTAAGAACAACGCATACGAGGATAAGGGGAATGGCGACAAGCTGAATCGGAGTTGGTTTTTCAATTGATTTCTTCGATAGGGCGCGAATGAGGCGAGAATCCAAACCCAATTCTTCGAAGCTCTGCTCTTCTTCATTCGGTTCCTCCCCGTCTGCGACGACGGGCTTATCCTCTGCTTCCTCTGGTGGCTCTTCGATTGGGTTTCCCTGTATTTGTTTCTGCTCTTCGTAATTGTTCTGAGGATCTCTCTTCCTTTTCGCCATCGGTGACTGGAATTCCGAGTGTGGAGTAGTGATGATAGAAGAAACGACGACACGCGGGAATTAGGGTTTTGGGGGTTTTTGGTGAGGACTGATTAGGGTCCGAAATGAGTGGGCTTTAACGGTTCCCAACCCGGGTTTTCCTTTTTTTTTTAGTTACTATCAAAATATTGATTTTTTTTTAATTTTTATCTTGACATAATAAACTAGCACGAATTCCGTCGATGCACGGGTAAGAGATATTCTTTAATATTTATAAATTAAAAATGCTCACTAAATAATATTTACAAATTAAAAATATAAAATCAATATGTAATACAACTTAATTATCTATATTAATTTGTTGAAAATGTTATATGAAATATAAATTGTGTACAATTACATTAAATATGTCTATTTAAAATTGGTATACGACCGTGCAAGTAACTAATAATAAATTACATTATATTTCTTTCGAAATATGTGTCATTTTGAATTTTTTTTTTCAAATTTTTGTTCATAAATTCGATTTGCCTACAATGTGATTCAAGTAAATACAAACTTATATATACGAAATAATTTGATATATATATATACAAACTTATAATTATATATACAAAATAATTTGATATATTCAACGCACATTTACAAACTATAGTATTCTCCAAATTTTTTTCTCATTAATATCGAGTAAAATGCTTAGCAATATAAAAAATAATATTGAGATACAGTTTTTTACCATAAGCGGGTATATTGGATCAATATATAGTTTACCAAATAATTTGATTTCATACTTTATCGATAAAATACAAAAAATAATATTCAGTTTTACCACAAAATTAATAGTCCTGCGTACAAAACAAAATCGAGACCCGCATTTTTTATAGATAAAGATAAAAAGACCAAATAAACAGTTATTAAAAAGTAATTAAATAGAAGCTGGCATTAATACAATTATTTTGGAATAATTTTATAAAAAAAAATTATGATTGAATAAATCAACCAAATTTACTCCACTGTGTAAGTAGGGTATCTTAAAAATGTAAATTTTTATGGTCCAACTATTTCTTTAATTATCCACAATTTGAGTAATTAAATACACAAATAAAAAAATAACAACTATTAAATAATATTTAAATAAAAACTGTCATTAATACAACTTTTTTAGAAAATTTTTTGCAAATCGCATAATTGATTATTTTAGTTGATATTTTCATAAATCTAGTAATTATTTGTAGATTGAATAAATCATTTGGATTTACCCAATTTGCGTAACTAAGGTATATTAAATGCATTGCACAAAATATTTACACGAAAAATATAAGACATTTATTAAATAATTAATTACACAATTTACTTGGAATATTTTTACCAAATCACATAATTTGTAGCCAAAATTCCCATATTTAGGTAAATCAACCAAATTCACATGATTTCCGTAATTAAGGTATTTTAAATTTAATTTTTCTATGGCTTATATCATTTCCTTAAATAATGTATATTTGAAGTATTAAATTAATTTTATGAAATAGATTTTTTTAGGGAAATAGTTACTATTTAAAAAATCGGCAAACTTATATATATGTTAATAATTACTAGTACAACACCCGTGTATTACACGGGTGCTTGCTAATTTTTTCCTTAAAATCTAAAGTTAATGAGAAAAAATAGGTGAAAATTTAAAGGGTTAATTGCAGGAAAAATCATGACCTTTGCTTAAATTGCAAATAAAACTCCACTTTTTCAATTTGGCAAAACAATACACAATCTTTAAAAAAATTTACAATTATGTCTCAAAGGAAGATTCCGGTCAACTGATGCTGACATGGCATGTCGGTAAATTGATGTGGCAAAAAACATTTTACACGTAAGATTTTATTTGTACAAAAAAAAAAAAAAAAGAAACAGAAACCTTTCTATTCTGCTCGACAATTTTCTCAAAAAATAAAAAAATAAAAATGTCGATTTGGCTGGCAATGTACCGGACGGGGAGCTCGGGTCGTGTCTCTGTCGATTTGGCGGCAGCTTCTTCCGATGCACATACCGGAATCTCACCCGCCCGAAAAGGACAAGATTTGCTTCAGATCTGCCGAGACTGCCGTTCACTCCATCCCTCTGGTGCTCATCCTCTGCGCCGCCATCTTGTGGTTTTGCTCTGCACAAGGTGATTTGCTTAATCTTTAATTTTTTTTATTTTCATTTGCAATCAGTTTCTGTACTTGATTCGGTGAATGATGTGATTTTCTTTGAATTGTTTGAATTTTCGTCTGTCGATTTAGCTTTGTAAGCTAATTTCTTCCCCTTTAGATTAAATGATTTTGAGATTCTTTTTAGATATTTTAAGTGAGATGACATGGACTCTTACTTGTAAAATATTTTTTTGCCACGTCACAAAACCGGTGCCACATCAATTTACCGACATGCCATGTCAGCATCAGTTGACCGAAATCTTCCTTGGAGACATAATTGCAAAATTTTTTAAAGGTTGTGTATTGTTTTGCCAAATTGAAAATGTGGAGTTTTATTTGCAATTTAAGCAAATGTCAGGATTTTTCCTGCAATTAACCCAAATTTAAATACTTTTATAAAAACACACATATATATATATATAT